AGACCACTTCACCCGGGATAAGATATCTTACGACCCTACCAATCGCTAACACAAACCCATTTTCATTAACAAGGCGTCTACCAGAGGAGGAATGACTTTGAAAATAAATTTAAAGCAATGCTCCGAGACAGACACTTATGGACTGAGAGCTGCGTACAGTACGGCTTGAAACAGACTATCTCTATGTTGAGGTATTGTTTGTTCTTTGGGGGGGTATGTAATATATATATATATATATATATATATATATATATATATATATATATATATATTAATCATTTCATCTCAAGCAAGGCGGAAATGCCACTAGTGTATGCAGGGGGTTACAGGGAGTGAAGGTGAGTGAAAAAACTGGGTAGAGGGGGGACCGAGGAAGGGATAAAAGCTGAACAGGGTTTAAGAAGATAGAAGAGGGAGAGTGACGTTGCATTTAAATTTTTGAAGACTGTAGTTATCAGGGAAGAAAAAAACGGAAGGGAGTTCCACAGGCGGGAAGTGCTAGAAAAGAAACTGTCGAGGTAAAAGTGGCGGTTCATTTAACTAATTCAACAGTAAAAGGGTGGTACCTAGATGCCAATCTAGTATCATGCTTAAACTCGCGTAGTCAGGGCAACAGGGAAAAAACTCATCAGAGCCATGAAAATATTTGTAGAAAAGACAAGGGGAAGCCACATCACACCAGTGAGAAAGTGACTGAAGTCGACATGCCAAGTCAGGATAGATTACATTGCATATCCTTCTTTGGATTTTGTCAAGAACCGCAGTATGAGCACTGGACCATAAATGTTTATAAACTATATATATATAAGTATGTAATAAATTTAGTTATGTAATCCTGACAGTGTTATAAGTTACTGACATTTGGAAAAATGTTCATGAAAAATATGTGCCGAAAATAATATCTGATAATGCATTTCACATTCAAAGGCTTCATCAGATGGATAACAAAAATGTGTTGTGTGTGAAAACATTTTTGTGTGTTTAAAATAATTAAATCTTATATTATTTTTCACAAGCTCACATTTCTAAAGAGTAAAAGAAAAAAAAATCGTTTAAGATTTTTTTTATGTTATCCGCTTTTAAGTGTTCGAGCATTGAGAAAATATAAAATGTATAAAATATATATATATATATATATATATATATATATATATATATACTTTATAAATTCAACCTATGGCAAAAATCATATTTGTCAAGACGTAGGGCTAAATTAAAAAGAGTGATAAATGCAATTAAAAAACGATAATGTAGGGGAATTTAAAATATAAAACATTGGAAACAACAATTGCCGCCACGGTTTCTTATCTCTCTCTCTCTCTCTCTCTCTCTCTCTCTCTACACAGACACACACACACACACACACACACACACACATATATATATATATATTCATCATCTTGACTATTGTTTCGGATGATATTCTACATCCTACAAACACACACCATCACTTGATAAGACACCGGATGTATTGAAACAAAATGGCTATTTTTGTAGTGATTTTATAACATATTTATGTTATAATTTTTTAAATATATAATTATATATATATATATATATATATATATATATATATATATAAAATATGCGATGGGTAAATTGTCGTCATTCTGTATTTTTAATTTCACGCTATTTGTTTTTTGTTTTGTTTTGTTTTTTTTTTTGTCTACGCAGTATAGTAGGTTGAGTTAGGCTTCGTTTTGTTGCGAAAACCATGACACAACTCACTCCGCTAGAAATTTGAAAACAGCATGCTGTACTACTTGGCATTCGCACCGGAAGCTACATTACTAATATTTTATAGTGTTTGCGTGTCAATCTAAAGACAATGCAGAGGATTCGGAAAGAGTTGGATGATATATCCTGTCAACATCATGGGGTTTGAACTGGTCACTAGTGATGGCGACGTTATGCCTCTATTGATCTTCTCATAGGGCCTCAGACTCAACATGGAGGCCCACATCAAGTGCCTTGAAGAGTTAGTTCTACCCTGAGTCAAGAGGGTGAACGATGGTAGACCCTATGACTGGCAGCAGCACTCTACATCATGCCACAAGAGCAGAACTCAATCAAGGTTGTCTACAATTTCTTCGGCCGTATCGCCATCAAACGCCACAGCCTACAACCCCCTTGATTATTATGAGACCTACGTCAAGTGCCATCAGGAGCCAGTGCACTCTGCACCATGCCACACAAGTAGGAGAACCCACTCATTATGTGTGGGTCACAGTTAAGCAAGAGACCAACAAAACTCTTTGTAACACCAAAAATGAACTGAGGGCAGGGATTATGGCAGTATTCACGAAATTAAACAAGGAAACAGCACAGAATAAATGCAGGCGATTATGAAGTCGTCTGTAGGTCGGGGCTGAAGCCAGTGGCGAATTTATTGAATAAATTTTCTGTTAATATTTCAAAATATTTTTGTGCAATTTTGACAAATACATCTGTTAAAATGCGAGGTGAGTGTTATTCTCATTTTTGCGTAATTTAGACAATTTATCCATCACACCCTGTATATATATATGTATATACATATGTACATACATATATATAAGTGTGTGTGTGTGCGCGCGCTTGTGCGTATCTACTTAAGCGATCTACTTAAAAAAAAAAAAACATGTAGAGAAATTGGCGGATGCAAGAGTTGTATCTCTCATACCCATCTAGTGTGTCATTTATTTTAAGTGACCGCCATCCTCTTTCCATCTTAACACTTACATACTGTGTGGGTAAGCATAGTCCATCATAACTAACTGGATAGTCAGAAACAGAAAAGTCCTGAAAATTCGTTCATTCTTTGAAATAAAATCTGATACTAATAGAATGACGATTTAAAGTTTAAAACCTGTCACCGATTCGATTATTTTCCAACTAATTTATTATCATTATTATTATTACTATTCTCTTTTTCCGCACGGTTTCTCATCCCGAGATCTTGTGTTATTGATATCGTACTTCAAAGAAATAGAACTTTTCGCAGAATAATTGCAGCGCGAAGCAACGTAGATTTTCTTGGCGATGGGATTCTAGGTTTTACTCCAATTTTATTAATGTCGGAATTTACCTTCGGTTGTATAGATTTGAACGTCCCAATGCTAACTGGGACAACAGTGGCTTGCACGTCCAGCATTCTAGCAACTTCAATCCGAGGTCCGTGTTTATCTTGAGCTTATCAATTTCGTTCACTTTGATATTAGGGTCAACAGAAACAGCCATATCAATGAGGAGGCATTTTGTTTATTTTATTTTCAACGATGATGAGACCTGGTGTGGTGTCCTCAAGGATGCGGCTTGTTTGGATACTGAAACGCCAAAAGAATTCGACTTAGTCGTTTTCTGTCACCTCTGGTTCATGACAGTATCATTTCTCGTCGACTACAAACTTTCTACATAGGCCTCAATAAAGATGAAGGGCTACTTTATCATGTCAGCTAATGATGTTTGTGACATTTTCCCTCTCCATGCCACACACATTATTATTATTATTATTGAACAAAATGATTGACATAACTCTTCCAATATTTTTCAACACTTATGACATTATACCTGTGTCCATTGAATCTCTTATTTCATTTTTCATTTGTGCAGCTCACATAAATCATGTCATGTTTGTTTAATGTCAGAGACACAGTAATGTAACATCGACGGAGCTTGCAGAACATTTTATTGCAAACGACTGTAATTTTGACAAGCATATTAAGGTGTACATTCTGAAAAAATATTCAGACTGTACAGTTTTCGGTTCTTATTACGAATGAGGATAGTTACGTATACAAACTACTAACTTCCCGCCCCGGGGGAATGAAAAGAATAACAGGAGAGTTCCATAAGCATTATAATAAGCTGTTTGATTAATTCCTCTTATTAACTAATCAGCTAACGGAATATTCCAAGATGACCAAAATACCCATCATATTACGTACGTTTCAGTTGCATGACTTCATACTGAGGGTCTTTCTTTCGTTTTGACGCGTTGATTATCAGTACAACCGTTTTGGGTTTGTTTTTTTTGTGGGGGGGTTCATTACAAGACAAGCAATGTTTGCATAAAGACTTATAATTTTTTGTAGGTTTTATATATTTTTATACTTGAATTTTTTTTTTAAAATATAACTTGAAGACATTGTCGAAATATTGTTTAACATTGTCAAAGACTGTTTTTTTCTTTTCTTATTTTTTTCTTAATTCGTGCACTTTTCTTAAGTATTATTATTATTATTTATTATTATTATTATTATTATTTTCTTTGATTTCTGGTCTGTACACATTTCTTTCTGTGTCCCGCCCAGAGACCTAAGGTTAGAAGTTATGGCATCATGATATTTTCCACTGACCAATAAAAGAAAAAAAATTTACAAAGATAAAGCCCTTTGTAAGTTATAGGTTGTACTCGTGAGAACAATTTTTTGTATTTCTTTAAGGCATGGACTTCCAAGAATCCCTTCAATTAATCTACTGGACTCTTTTCCAACCAATCTGAAGGCTCCAACTACAACAGGGATTGTTGATGTTCGCATGCGCCACATTTTTATTCTTGTATTTTGATAGCTTTTTGATCATGATTATTATTATTATTATTATTATTATCATTTCCCCCGTAAAAATGACGGGATTACAATAAAATATTTTTAAAATTCTATATGGTAATCAAAACAATAATAATCTGCATAATAACTTGTGGATTTTTTACTCATCGTTTCTTTGCCCGTTCTACTCAGCAATACAAAGGAGGAAAGACGACATTAATTCCTACATTTTCTATGGCTTATCAACCATTTTCAAGTTATTTAAAGCCAGAAAATATTTTTAGATTTTCTTTTTTGAGATATTAAGGATTTAGTCATACAAGTCTAGCTAACCTAAAGCTGGGGGGAGAAGAGGTGGATTCATACCTTTCCCAAGGATATTTGCGCATGAGTGAATATAATGAACCCAACAGGAATTGGAACTCTACTCTCCAGTTAACAATTCCGAGCATTACACCACCCGCACATCTAAGCACCTGGTATTCCCAAGTAGTCACCCATCTGGGTACTAACCAAGCTCGACTTTGCTCAACTTCGGTGATCGTACGGGAACCGGTGTTTCAACCTGATATGGCCATAAGCAAAGGAAATTTAAGAAAATGATACGAATGGATTTCATGGAAATCGAGAGCAAATGTCATCGAGTTTCTTTTCGAACAAAACAATCTCAGAAATTCAAAAATATACGTAAATTTTCTTTCACGGATAATATATATCTCCATTTATACATTATATATATATATATATATATATATATATATATATATATATATATATATATATATATCGTTTTAGTAAGCATAAGCTGACATGTGGCACAAGGCAGAAAATAATGAGCACCCAGTGAGAATCGAACTCACTACTCAGTATTGAACTAGCTCGTAACACATTTAAAAAACTTAAATCTTAATACAGAAAATGTGATCTCCGGCAGGTATCAAACTTGCATCCCCCAATTGTACAAGATATCACGATAGCAATGTTTAAAGTAAAAATAAACATGGAGCGTCTATTTCAAATACGAGTATCCACTAAGTAATAACTTCTTGAAGTAATAAAATTGTCGGATTAAAAATAAATCCATGAATTTTTTAGATATTATTTTGTTAACACTTCCGATACGAAACTGAGCTGATGTGGGCTTTCGATAAAATCTCTTAGTGAGAAAGTGTGCATTCCTTAAAAAGCACATCGGATCAAAAGGTGCATTCTTCTACAAAGGTGGACGCAGCTTCGATTCCTGCCGCAGGTCACATTTTCATCAAGATTTTTCGAATACGCAGTATGGTAGACGTAATACACAGTTTAAAATAAAATTGAATTGTCTATTTAAATACGAGTATCAACTACTAATAACGTTTGAAGTAATAAAAATTTATCTTAAAATTTCTAACATTTTAATTTCGCGCCATTTTTAGCAAATAAATGTAAATCTTTATTAAAAAATCTTACAAAAATAAAATATATTTTTTCTGAAACTTTATTTGAGAAATGATTTAAAGTTTAATTAATCTTATTTGAAACAACTATGTTTTTTTTTTTTTTTTTTTTTGATTAGAATATCACAGAATTGCATTTTTTTAACACGACAGTAGATTGGTTATTATGTTGACAGCAGCTTTTTTAACAAATTTGTGACAGCTCGATGACAGATTTTTATTTAATGTTGTTCTGCGGATGCTTTAACCTTAAAAACATAATTGAGGAATAAAAAGCTGACGCATTTTAAGTACTCGGCAATCTTTAAAATTTAAGAACATATTCTCTATACGAAGCTGAGCCGATATGGGCTTTTGAGAAAATCTCTTATTGAGGAAGTGTGCTTTCCTTAAAAGGGAACATAAAACCTTGCTGAAATGTAACGCTCTTCGCAACCGAGTGATAAAGCACATCGGATCAAAAGATGGTTTCTCCTACAAAGGAGAACACATTTGACGGAGAACACATTTTCTTCGAATACGCAGACTGATAGATGTAATACGCATTGTTTAAAATAAAAATGGGCGTCTATTTCAAATATGAGTATCTACTATAATAACGTTTGAAGTAATAAAAATTTCTGTCTATAATTCTAAGATGAGGTATTGTAACTATTTACACCATTTACATTGTTCAGGCTGCTGTCCTAATCTTTATTGTCATATTCACGACGTTTCGGTCATTGGACGCTATGTCCTTTATCAGGCTCTGTCTATATTTCTGAGATGAGGTATTGTAACTATTACACTATTTACATTGTTTGAACTGTTGTTCTCATTTTTGTTGTCATATTCACAACGTTTCGACTGTTGTATGTTCTGGCCTTCTTCAGAATCTGTCAATTTTTTTTAGAAGAGTTATTGTAACTATTACACTATTTACATTACTCGGACTGTTGTGCTCATCTCTATTGTCATATTCACGACGTTTCGGTCGTTGTACGTTATGGCCTTCTTCAGGCTCAGTCTATATTTCTGAGATGAGGTATTGTAACAATTTATACTATTTACTTTGTTCGGACTGTTGTCCTCATGTTTATTGTCGTATTCACGACGTTTCGACCGTTGTACACTCTGGCCTTCTTCAGGTGATAATCGTTGGAATTTCGAACCGAACACTTTGTTTCGTCTACCGGGGTAGATTGTTCTAGTTCCACATGCCATACCTTTTCTTGATAATAAACATATGTACAGATTTTGAACAGATTTTGTTAGATAATACCGACAAAGCCCGTCTGTCTATCCAGTTTTATCGAGTTTTCAAACATTAAAAAAATTATTTAAAAACAAAACTTGGACAGAAAAACTTGTCTGTATTTTTTAACAGAACTTTTTAAAATAATTATTTCTGTCTAAACGCCCTTCAGATATATATATATATATATATATATATATATATATATATATATATATATATATATATATGGACCAATAATAATCTCTCTCTCTCTCTCTCAGTAGTATATATATATATATATATATATATGGACCATAATATATATATATATATATATATATATATATATATATATATATATATATATATATATATAATTCATCGAGTCTAGAAGAAATTTCAACAGCGCCGCTCGATCACATATTCCGTGGTGGAACTCATTCGAGTTTCCCTTACCCATAGGACTGTGCCCCCACGAGCCACAACTACTATTCCTATCTAATGTTCTGGATGGAACGGCTTGGGAATATATCGAGTTTAATTCGTTACCGCTTCGTCACCGAGGCCCGTTAGTACACTTGGTATGACGTTTGCCTGATAACGGGTTTCAATTCTCGGTAGTGGATGCGCACTGCTGATGAGTCCCAGATATAGGACGAAACAGCCGTCCAGTGCTTTCTGCATTCTGTTGAGTTTTCTTCTAGACGCGATGAATTACTTAATTATGATTATCTCAAATTCCCCTAATAATTTCTATCGCACATATATGTTTTATTTAGTGAGTACATGTGCTTAAGTATACGTCCCTGTTTTATCTTAAACTGAAAATTTAATGTCTATAATAATTATGCTTAAGAATCAAAGCTATCTACTCAAACACGGTACATAAGTACACAGCATGTGAAACGTCGCAAGCCTCTCATTACTCTATGGCTGCTTCTATGTTAAATGGTCTGATGAGATACGTACCTTAGATCCAGTAGTTGAGCCTTTAATGCCATGAACACAGAAGTGAACCATCCACATTCCTTTCGTATTCCACTAGTAAGAAAGAAGTTCCAGAGCGGCTACTTTTTGGAACAGACTACGTAGAGGATGTTTCCCCGGACACTACAATCTTAACCTCTTCAACGGTTGTCTATTCTACATGTCCTCATACCGTTCATTTCTTAACTCCCCCTCTTACGTAAGACAACCATATTCAGTAATTCTCTATCTTGAGTGACTCTTGAGTCTTGCATTGATTGAACACTAGCGTAAAAAATACAGCTGCCCTAAGCTTACTTGATTACTTAGAATCATTTCGAATAATTCTATCAAGCCAACAAAAATTTCTTATCAAATTTATGTCTCTCAAAATTTCTCTCATATGAGAGGACGCATTCTCGATTACTACAACCTTAACTTCTTCAAGTCTAGCCTCAACCGATATCTATCCTACATATCCTCATAATGCGTACTTCTTACTGCTTCCTCCGCTCTCCCTTACGTCCTTGCAGCACTCTCCCTCTGCGAACCTCTACCTTGAGTAACTCTTGAGCCTTGTCTTGGAGGAATAAAGTAAAAAAAAAAGTGCATTTCTCTCTATGTCTCTCTCACACACACGCACACATTCATTCACCACTTTTGTAGGCTTATTTGTATATGCGGGTGGTGTAAGGAATAGTAGCCACTCGAGGTAGGGGCTTACAGATTAAGAGGTACATTTTATTTGGATATGTAGGGAAGATAGTGGTTAACACTAAACTTGATCAGGTTAAGAAGCATCCCCCTGGGAGTCGGTTCCACAAAACAGCGATTCGTGAAAAGAAGCTGTTCGAGGGGAATTTACATTTTACTAACAGAATGCGAAGAGAATAAGTAAAGGTGGCTTGCTACAATGTGGGTGGCATGGTGGGTTTTGGCCGTGAAGTTTAGAACTGGTGGGACAAATGACTGTAATTCGTCCATGAAAATAGCGATGGAGCAGAGTTTCGTCTGTGGGAAAGTGATTCTAGAGTAGAAAATAATTTTCAACCTTGTCTCATACATACATATATATATATTTCTTTATTATAGGTTATTACATTCGAACATACATATTTCCGTTACAAAAATGCGTTAATGTTTCGATGTAACATAGCATCTCATCAGGCAGTATTAAAATGATCATTTTAACACTGCCTGATGAGATGCTATATTATGGAAACATTAACGCATTTTTGTAGCGGAAATATGCATATTGAATGTATTCGAAAATATATATATATATATATATATATATATATATATATATATATATATATATATATATATAGCTCTACTTTTGTATTGGGCCTTTTTTAAATTAATGCCATGAACATTTGAATTTATTTTTGATTCGTTCTTATTGTATTTGGAGATTCTATATATATATATATATATATATATATATATATATATATATATATATATATATATATATATATAGAGAGAGAGAGAGAGAGAGAACGGTGTTCTCATATATGTACACAAACGTCATTAACGTTTCTATGTGTATTTACAGATATCACTGGAAGCACTTATACACTAACACATGTTCACATATATATGCGCGCGCGCACAGACACACACACCCACCTCTAACAATATGCAGTCTCTACCTCAGATATGGTTCGGCAAGACAGACGAGAACACTTCCTCACATTCCGGTTTATGGTATTATGACAGAAAAAAAGCGAGAAATTCCCTCCACTCTGAAACTGTTTCTGTTATGGAATGAAGAAATCATCATTTATTAATTAGCTGAAAGAAATGGTGAGTGGAGGGAGTGGGAAAGAAAGAGGGAAAAAAGGAAAATGTGAGTAATGATAAGAGGATATAGAAAGAAGTTGGTAAGAAGAGAGAAAATAAGGAAAAACAGCGGAGATAAGAGAGATGGATTGGAAGAAGGGAGTAAAAAAGGTAAGTAAAAAAGAGAGTGGAGAAATAATTACGGAGGGAAAGAGAGAACAAGAAAGGAAAAGCGAAAGGAAAGAGAAGGGAGAAAGAATTAAGAAAAGAAGAGAAATATAGAAAAAGGAAATAAGAGGAGAGCGAATTAAGTGGTGGGTGGGGGAGACAGAAAGTAATAAAAACGTGTGGTGCGTTATGAGAAGAGAGAGAGAGAGAGTAAGGGGAAACTGAGACGGGAGATAAAAAAAAGAAAGAAAGTATTGGGGGAAGAAAGAAAAAGAACAGTATTGGAGAGAGTCGTTATTGTAAGATGAGAGAGAAAAAATTGAGGTGAGAAAGATTAAGGCAAAAAGAGGGGGGAAGATAAGAGAAGAAAGAAGTGTTAGAGGAGGTAGAAAGTAGGGGGGAAAAGAAAGGGTCGTTATTATAAGATGAAGGAGAAAGATTTGGGTGTGGAGAGAGAGTGTGTGAAGGAAAGGGGCGATAAGAGGAGAAAGAAAAAAGTGGTTGGAGGGAGAGTAGGGAGGCGATATTATAATGAGAAGTGGAAGAATGGTGAATGCTGACAGCAGAACAAAGAATACGGAAGGAGACAAAGAAAGCGAAGAAATAATGATTGAAGATTTGAAGACGCATAGCCAGAGAACAAAAAGAAAGAGCAGATGTGTTATGGGTTAATCTTAAACGCTACAAGCAAGGCAACAAATTGTTGTTGGTGCTTTTCTATGAAATTTATTGTTTAAGCTTGGAAAATCTATTCTCATTCTATCGCGCGCTTCAGGAGAATAGAATGCAATACCAGAAGTAAAAGGACCAGTGTCAAGAAAATGACGTGAATCGTGGAAATAATAAAAGGAATGTTTAAATAGAGTGGGGGGAGGGTAACTGAAGAAATTAGCGAAGATGAGTTGGGAATTGAAGAGGAGAAATGACAATTATTAAAATAGAATAATAATAATAATAATCTATATAATATATATATATATATATATATATATATATATATATATATATATTTGTCAGTGAAGAGTGTCATGATGCCATTTCTAACCTTAGGTCCCTTGGCGGGATCCGGAAAGAAATGTGTAAACGCCAGAAATCAAAGGAAATAAAAACAACAACAATAATAATAATAATAATAATAATAATAATAATAATAATAATAATAATTAGAAGAAGAAGAAGAAGAAGAAGAAAAAGAAGAAGAAGAAGAGATAAAAAAGAATGGGTGAGAAGGAAAAGAGATAGAAAAGGAGAAATAGAATATCGGAAAGAAAAAAAAAGAACGAAAAATCGAAGAAATGAAAGATAGAAGATAGGTGGGATGAGAGGGAATGAATAAATAAATTTTAAAAACAAGACGAAACAGAATATATGAACCGAAGGTAGAAATAAAAAAAAAAAAAGGAAAGAGAATTGCTAAAAGAAAAAAAAAGAAAGAAAAAGAATAAGGAGGAATGAAGAAAACCTAACCATCAAATATTTTCATCCGATGTACACTTGAGCCACCCAATGTCAAAGTTCACTGATTTTTTTTTATGAGCGTAAGAATTGCAGAGTATGAAGATATGTGTGTTAGATAACGGTTGACCAAAAGCTTGAAGAGGTTAAAATTGTAGTGATCGGCGAAACACCCTTTCGGGAGCTTTTTCCAAAAAGCAGCGGCTTTTAGGGAAAAAAGTCCTTACCAATGGAATACGAAGTGAATGAGAATGGTTCGCTTTCGTGTACTTAGCAGTAAAGATCTGAATTGGTTGAATTAAGGAAATGTAGCACGTTTAAAGAATAGAGATAGACTTGTGACATTGTGCCTATAGGAAAAGGTGTTACATGTTGGAAACTAACGTAGAGAAAAGACAAATATTTAAAAAGAGGAAAAAAAAAAAAAAAAGCGATTACAGTGAGACCCCACCTATCCGCGTTTCAGCATTCGCGGCTTCACACATTCGCGGATTTTTCTTTAGAACATATGTACGTGTTATTCGTGGAAGCTCCCAATATTCACGTGCTTTTCTGAAGAACATATGTATTCGCTGGGAACTCCCTCAATCTGCGTATTTTTTTTCGATAGAACATATTTAAAATATTCTTGTATTATTTTTCTGTTATTTAAGTGACTTGAAACATATAACAGTCTATTTTTATGGTAAAAATTGGCAGAATTCTACATCTTCATTGTAAAAATAAACGCAAAATCATGCGTAGTGTTTGGTCTTTGTCCTTTGTTAAGGGCTGTGGCTAGGGTCTTAAAAGTGCCTTATACTAAGTCTGGGGTGGGGGGCATCATCACAGTTCTGTTTTTAGAAAATGCTTGAAACTTTATATTTTATGCTATGTTACACATATTTTGTACAGTATAGTATACAGTATTTTCAATGGTTGTATTGATCTATGTGTAATTAAAAACGGTTATTGTACGTATGAAAGAAAATTTACGCTAAGTGTATGGTCACCAAAACTATTTTTCAAAAATATTTTAAAAAGGGTTTGAAATGTTTCTAAACTGTTTAGGATGAAATTTTAAGGCATGTGGGGTTTTAACAATCAAAATAGGTACTTATAAGCACATTCAGTGGGGAGGGTTACAAGTATTCGCAGATTCTAACTATTAGGGGCTAGTTCTGATCCCAAACCCCCGCGAATACGGCGGGGAGCTCACTGTAGTTATTTAAGCCTCTATTTAACACAGCGTAAAAAGGACTGACTGTATTGAGAATATAAGAAGGTTTCAAATGTGTTCCTTTTTCTGAAAAGTATGGAAACGTCGAAAAATGGAGCAAGAAAAAGTCAAAGGAGAAATAGAAATTTGCTGGAGAAGCAGTCAAAAGAGACCGTTTGAGATAGATACGGAGACCAGGAAAACGTACAGAAATCGTTATGAAAAGAAAAAGACCTCCTGGTGGGAGCGTTCGAACACTCGTTATCATAGAATATGAGACAGGTTTCAATTTCATTCGAGGTTGATTGTAAAGAGAGGAATAAACATCGAGCTGCAGTTTCACGAACAAAACAAAAGACGATCTTCCAGCAAAAAAGAAAATCTCACCAGGGTGTCAGCCATAAAATCCAGTCAAGGAAATATAACCTTTAGCCTTTCAATTCAGTGGCAGAAAACTCAGTACAGATGAATCGAGAGTAAAAGCTCAAACACACACATATTTTAGCTATATATATATATATATATATATATATATATATATATATATATATATATATACACAAACCAGACTATTGGTAACAATATACAATTCTATCAACACCAAGCCTGACAAACAAAGAAAAATTTAAACGCCAAAAGAAAAGTAAAAGAAACCAAGAACAAAAAATCTCGTCGTTTCAGGATCGCCTCTGCGTGAAACAGAGTAGAGATTTTGACCACGTCTCTTTGTACTATTTCGCTGGTTAGTGTTTATATTATATATATATATATATATATATATATATATATATATATATATATATATATATACACTAACAATATATATATTGTGTATATTTAGGCAGCATATTTTTATTCAAACAGGTTTGGTGAAATAATTTAGACATATCATGTCGATTTATTTTGGTTGTGATCCTTTCAAGTTCGCGGATTAATTTTTTTTGTAGATTTAGAAAAATGAATAAGAAAAATACCTTAATTTTCTGTCGAATAGGTTTTTTATTTTCACAAGTACTTTAAATCACATCTGAGACCATTTTCAGGCGGTTAAGTTGTCTGTGAATATATTTATGTGTTTCTGCGAATTTAAAACAATTCAACTGTTCTTTTTTTTACTGCTTATGTAGCGTTCTGCATTTCAAAGTTCACGTGTTCTTTTGGGGTTTTTCCAGTGTAGGGGGAGGAACTTTTTTGTTTTTGCTCATACGTATATAATATTTTTTTCTTTCTTTTTTTCTTTTTCAGAAGCATTTAAGGACTTTGTTAGTATACTTATAGTTGACTTTATTTATTTTGGGTTTAACTCACTTGTATAAAGGGCTTCAAGGATTTTTAGTTTTTAGTTACTTGGGAAAATAAAACCTATTCAAAAGAAAATTTTGTTATTTTTCTTACACGATTTTCTAAATTTAACAAAAAATTAATCCCTTAACTTGAAAAGGTCACAACGAAAATTAATCGACATGATATGTCTAAATTTTTTTGACCAAACCTGTTGTATATATATATATATATATATATATATATATGTGTGTGTGTGTGTGTGTGTGTGTGTGTGTGATCTGCATGATGAGGGAGTTAGTTGGCTATTTCCTGGTGTTCAAGCGCAAATCCAATAAAAAAAACAAATTCTTGAATGTCGATTTTTAAGGTAGGCAAGACATCTCTTATTAAAATATTGCCGCTACACCATCTTCCGATTTAGATCACATGTCATTTTTTAAGTGAAAATGAAATGCAGAAAGAAAACAGACGGATAAATCTGAAGGTCTACTCAATGTCTATTTTTAATGTCTACTTTTATATTTACATACGCTCTATCCCTGAGAACTTTAATCCATAAATTTAGTTTACCTTAAAACTTGCAGATATCTTAATATATTTCTTTTGAGGTATGCTATATTTAGGGGTAAAAGTGCTCAATGTCAGAGATAGATTATGTATGAGAATTCCAGAGCATTCATATTTGTATCATTAATATTGTTTGTTATCAGTGAGTTGGCTGACGCTTTAGGTTACGGTCAGTCCGAACTTCACCAAGTCAGATGTTACAATATCAAGCCGTGCCTGTGAAGTAATTTTTTTATAGTGTGGAAAGAAGGTGTATTTGTTTAAACCGATACTATGAGCATCGAAAACAATAATCCAAAAAGAAGAGCAAGTCTACATCGATTGTTCGTTAGTTGCAGGTGTTACATCAGAGTACGTCTCATTGATCAGCGTTTCTTTTTCAATCAACAGCATATGATAAAGCAAAATTTTTAAAGGCTATACATTTAAATGTCATGAAATAAAACCATAAAAAACACGCACAAATATGAACTTTGTTTCAGTGTTTCTATTCAAGTATCTGTGCTGCTTGTTTAGTATGAAATCTGTTGTTGTTTTTTGTTTTTGTTGTTTATTTTTTTTGTCTTTATTTTTTATTTTTTATTTTTTTTGCTTTTTTCCCAATCTTTTCAATGTGTGGTCAAATATACGATAAGTAGACCTACATTCCTTCTTCAGCTGAGCTTAGCCTTCCTCGCTTCTTATTTTTGATATTATTTAGGCTTGAGAAGCCTAATTCACATAAATAAGAAATAGAAAATTGCAATAAAACTGATAAAGCCTTTTTAGCAAATGTGGGATATCGCTCTCTCACAGACGTGCCGTGGCCTCCCTCCGTCTTTTTTACAAATACTTTCACGGTAACTGCTCCGATGAGCTGCTTTCGCTGGTTCCCAGACTTCATGAATTTAAGCGTTCAACTAGGCTGGCATCTCGCTCTCACCCTTTCACTGCCGAAACTGTTAAATGTAGCCGTCTCTTCTACTCCAATAGCTTCATGTCTCGCACTTCTCGCCTGTGGAACTCCCTCCCCTTTTCCTGTTTCCCTGATAGCAATAATCTCCAACTATTCAAATGTAATGTCAATCGACGTCTCCAGATGCCCTGATCTATCCCCTATTCTTCTCTTCATCCTTTCTTCTATCACTCTTATTTGCTCTCGCTCCAACTCTCTGTAACCCCTTGCGTGCTTGTGGTTTCCCGCCTTGCTTGGGGTGAAACGCTTATAAAAATTCCTTTTGTATTAAAATTCAAAATGTATCAATGTGTACCGTCGTATGTTTTATTTTGAACCCTCGATCACTGGTTGTTAATTCTTCTTCCTCACATAACTGAAGTCCAGGATTAGAAGGAACATTTATGAAGGTATTTTAAATCCAATCATACTTTTCTGTGTTCAATGACGGAAAATGAATATTAAAACAAAGTATTTAAATGTAACATAATCAAAGAATAGGGAAATGAATTATTTGAAAAAAAATGTTTAATACTTATCCATTTATTCAAATACTAACGCTGTACCATTACTACTTGAACACACATATGCCGTGACAATATTTCGAGGTACACTTTGCTTTTAGTAAACACATTTCCTTATCCAAGTCAAATCAAATTGATTCACAAAGATAAACAAAGACTTGAAAGTGCAAGGTGGATGCAACGATTTTATTTTATCTTTTTAAGCATTTCACCCCAAGCATGGCGGGAGTGCCACTAACACGCAAGGGGTTACAGAGTGTAGGAGCAAGAGAAAATAGACGGGATTGAGGAAAGGATGAAGAGAAGGACGGGGAACAAGATCCATGCATCAGAAGATGTCGATTAGCATTACATTTAAATGTTTGAAGATTATAGCTATCAAGGAAGCAAGTAAGAGGAAGGGAGTTTCACAGACGGGAAGTGCGAAACATGAAGCTATTGGAGTTGAAGAGACGGCTACATTTAACTGTGAAAGGGTGGGACTGAGATGCCAACCTAGTAAGACGCATAAATTCACGTAGTTTGGGAACCAGTGAAAATAGCTCGTCGGAGCAGCAGTCGTGAAAATACTTGTAGAAAAGACAGAGGGGAACGACTGCACGTCTGTGAGGAAATGACAGTAGACGAGAAGCCAGACCGGGACCAACCTCATTGCATATCCGTATCTGGATTTTGCCGGGGACCTTGAAACGAACAGCGGGGGTTCCAGACCATATAAGACTGCAGGCAAGCAAGGGCGAATGTTTGATTTATAAATTTGAAGGGTGGACTCAGGCGAGAAAAAACTTTCTGGCGCGACACAGAGACCCAACTTTCCTTGCGATAGATGAAGCTATTTATTCAATGTATTTGTTCCATCTTATGTCAGCGGACAGCGTGAGACCAAGCAGGCGCATAAAGTCGCTCTCGTGGAGTTGAGCATCAGACATTCTAATAGGAGGCAGAGAGAGTTCTCTATGGTGGGTAAATGAGAGCATTTTTGTTTTTGAGCCATTAAAGTTGACCTGCTATTATTATTATTATTATCAGTCGCTACCTGTTACAGAGTGCGCTTCAGCATGAGATATCCTGCTTCACAAAGTTCGATCAGCATCAGCAGAGTTCAAAGCGTAAAGGTCAAATCCAGACCATAAGTGGACAATATCAAGCAAGCATTTTGGCTGTCGACCTCTGCTTCTCTGCTTTCAGTAAAGCTTAACTTACTCCCGCCCTGAGTTGATCTTATGATATGACCATACAATTTAAGTACTCTTGACTTGAGAACTGATGTGATTGGCTTAAGCTTAGTAATGTTGAGTAACTCACTGACAGACATGTGGTCGCTGAGGCGTTTGTTAGTCATAAATCTCATTATGTGGTTCTGGAATGCGGCGAGCTTTTGATGCTACATTCCAGAATTATGGAACCAGCAATATGGAACCCGGGAACTGAGTTCGAATTTCGGCTTAGGCTCATTATAGTCAGTGTGTTCTACTTACAATATGAAATACACGAGTCCGCCTCATCAACCCATCACCATTAATATTCTACAATGTTTGACTTACAATAGAGTTTGCGAATGCGCCTAACGACAGCTCACATTTCTGTAAGTATTTAATATATCCAGTTAGTAGCAGCCAAAAGAGGCAACCAAAATGCGCGCATACACACACATATATATATATATATATATATATATATATATATAGTAATAATACAATATGGTAATCCGTATGGAATTTTCAGGAGGATATAGATCCAGAGAGAGCTCTATGTCAAAGACAGGACAAAATTATTATTAATTAATATCAAACACTTAAAATCGCATATGTAATAATTTTCATTTCGTGAGAGCTTTAAAAACAGCTTACAATCTTCCAGACTTAAAAAAAAAATCAAGATTGAGAGCTGATTTTAAAGCTCTCATGAAATAAAAATTATTACCTATGGGATTTTAAGTGTTTGATATTAATATAAACAATATATATATATATATATATATATATA